AACTCCCCCGTTTCCCTGTAGTCACAAACTCCAGCTCCCAAAACAGAGGCCGGGGCAGAGCCTGGTGCTGGCACGCTGGCATCCCACCACGGGAAACCCCCAGTGGATCTGGGAAGGTTCTGTGCTGCCCTTTGTACTCACCAGCTTGCAGGGCAAGGTAATAAAAACATCTTTTTTAATATCTTCTTGCTGGATTTACATTCCCATCTGGGCTACATAAATATTGTTCATGTCAGTGCGTCCCTCCGTGGGGTTAGAGGAGGGTTGGGAGCCCGGATGGACATGGGAAAGGCCCCAGGAATGCTGAGGCCCACAGCACCCTTGGACAGTAAAGCTCAGAAACAGCATCAGCACAGCACCCTGGTAATCAGTAAAAGCTCCAAATCCTGCAGATTTGGGTAGGCAGATGACAACCACAGTGTCACCTTCAGGAGATGGGAGCCTCCAAAAGGCCAGCAATGGACAATGACTCCATCACCCCAATTTAGCTGGGATCATGTCCAAGAATTGCCTCTTGCAATCAAAGCAATGTGGCCAAAAGGTTGAGGGAGGAGACTCTTCCCCTGCTCTAGAGGTGCTTTAAGAGAGCTGGACAGGGAGAGGACAAGGGGGAATGGCTTCCCACTGCCAGAGGGCAAGGTCAGGTGGGATATTGGGAAGGAATTGTTCCCTGGGAGGGTGGGCAGGCCCTGGCACAGGTGCCCAGAGCAGCTGTGGCTGCCCCTGGATCCCTGCAAGTGTCCAAGGCCAGGTTGGACATCGGGGCTTGGAGCAGCTGGGACAGTGGGAGGTGTCCCTGCCATGGCAGGGGTTAGAATGTGGTGATTTTTAAGGTCCCTTCCAACACAGAGCACTCTGTATTTACCCTCACCTTGGGATTTCTCTTCCCAGCTCCTAAAGCTCCAGCCACGCTCACCCACCCCCAGAATCTTCTTCAGCCCAGAGAGGAGTGCAGGGCTTCTCCTCCCCCTCTTTCGTATGACTGCTAGCACTGAAATGCTTTGTTTTCTCCAAAAAAAAACTTTGTTTTTTCTTACCAAGCCTTCATTACAATGCTGGAGTAAAAACAGCCTTTCCAGCTGTGCTCACCTGTCCTAAGGATGTGAAATCGGCACAAAGAAATTCCCCAGCAAAATGGATGGGAATTGAGGAATAAAGGTGACATCAGCCCTGCCCTGGCTCAGGATCTGGTGACTCAGGGACTGTGGTCCGTGCACCATTCCAGCTTCCCTAAGCACAGGGAGCCCCAGCAGCCTCTGCTCCCTGTCTGGAGCTGGGCTAAAGGGGGAAGCTGTTCCCCAAGTTTTTGCACACAGATCAGGGGATTCTGATGGACACAGATATGCATTCAGAGGAGCTGCAGCCAAACCAGACCAGCTCCTCAGGCCATCTCTCCAAATGCTTTCAGTTCCATTTCCAGGCACCAAAACATTAAATATTAAGCGAAGAGAGTTAATCTATATCTGGGATATTGACACAAAGCAGAGGAGGGGAGAAGATAAATAGACCATTAAAAAAAAAAACCAAACCAACAAAATCTGTGTGCCTCTGCAGGCTGTCTCACCAGGGCTTTCCACACCTCAGGTACGGCACAAAGGATGTGTTTGGAGGAACAAGATGCACCAAGAAATGTCACTCTCCTGGCTCTGCCCAGGTGGCTGGAGCACCCTCTGGGACCTTTGGGAGGCTCCTTGGCTGAGGGCACAGCCCTGGTCAGGGACAAGGCCACCTTGTTGTCCCCCCTCCCAAGCTTGGGGCACATCCAACGGTGGCAGAGCAGACACTGAGGTAAGAAGGTTTGTGCCCTGTCAATGCTCACCAGGACTGTGCTGCCACTCAAAAGGGCTTTTGGAGCTGAGGAAGATGAGGGTGCTGGGCTGGCTCATCTGGCCCTTGGCTCAGTGTCAGCCCTCACTGTGGGATCAGCACCGGGACAGCCACGGATCCGTGGATCCCTCAGCACAGGAACGAGCCTTGTACAACCGGAGGCAAACGTCACCACTCATCTCCCAGCAAACACCCTCAAGCATCACTCAACACCTCTCCAGCAAAGCTGGATTTTTTTTTTTTTCCTGGCTGGGTGCTCACATGTATATTATTTTTTTTATTCCAGTCTCAGCATTCCTCCACTCCCCCCGCAAGAAAACAAACCTGAAAGCACAGAGAGTGCCTTGCAGGCCCCGCGCTGGCGTCCCGCGGGGAAGGGGCACGCGGTGGTCGCAGCAGCCCGCCCGCCCCAGCCCGCCGTGCTTGTTGACATAGGCAGCACAGTATATTTCTTTAAAGAGAGGAGCCTATGCATTCGATGCATTGCTGCCACGGGGTTTGTTTTCAAAGCCTGACCCCAGACCTGAACTCCACAGATCCTGCGTTTCTCAAGATCAAACGCAAGAAAACGTGACCAATGCAAACAAGAAATAAACCTTGATAATTATAGCCGGGGCGGCTATTGTTTAGTGCCGACTAGCACCCGCTTTAGCATAAACAGAACCCTATTTTTAAAGGGATGCCTGACCAGCTGACAGCATTACTCCCCATTTTGCCTCCAAACCCTCTGTTTGATAGAAACCCACCTCCCTGAGACCTGCGGAGGTTTAAGAGCAGAGACAAAAGGCTGAGCCATGCCCACAGCCATACTGGATGCTGGGGCTGGAGCAGGGAGTGGATCCTCATCCTCCCAACCTGCTCCCTGTTGGCGGGGGATGAGGGGCTCCCTGGGGTCCGGCTGCTGCCTGCAGCTGGCGGGCTCAGAGTGACGTCGGAGGACAAACAGACAGCACCGGTCTTTTCAGGAAGGCCATATCACTTAGCGCTTGGAAAGGAGCTACGATATTTTCCTGATTATGTTTGCACGCAAACGAGCGCTGCGGGGAAATTATGCAATGCTGAGCGGGGAGGGGTGGGAGCGAGGGAGGAAGGGCTGGAGGGGGGCTCCGGGCTGCACCCCACTGCCCTCAGCCCCAGCCAGTGCAGCTGCAGCCCCGGAGGTGCCGCAGATGGATCCGCCACCGCCGCCAGAGCCTCGGCACCGCAGCCTCAGAACCACGACTCAGTTATTAACGGCCTCTTCATTAAACACCCAGACCAAAATGCAGATATTTGTCACCCAGGCAATTTAATTACCCAGCCTGGGTTCACCTAACACACCCACACGCCTTTCTTTTTGGAGGCCTCTGTGCGGTCATAGCCTTAAATAAATAGATGGCAGGAGCAAGAGGCAGATGCTGACTCCTACAACCTCTGTCTTGGGCACAAAGCCTTTAAACCACCAGAACTTGCAGTATTTAATTTCTTTTGTTACCGCTTTTACCTTTAGAGCCCTGCCTTAGGCTTTCTAGATACAATCACATGCAGCAGGAAACAGAGAGCTACACTATGAGCTTCCTGGGCATCACATGCGCACACACACAACACACACACACACACTCCCAGCCCATCCATCACCCCAATTACAACTGCCCACACGTCCGCAGCTCGCTGTGGCACTCTGTTAGTACCCGTAATTACACAGTCCCATCCTTTCCCTGGTAAGAGTATCACGGAGTTAATTTGGGATTCTAGATGTGGTGGATCGCGTAATGAATTTCATCCTGGCGCGCTCCCCGCTGCACTCGCCAGCCATGCGCCAGCTGAGGGAGGGAGCGTGGGCAACGCTGGTCCCCAAAACAAGGCTTTAAGGTCCTTACACAGCCCTGGCACTCATCTCTCCCCTGCACACTCCTGGCTGCTGCCCACGTCCCAGCCAGAGTCAGGACAGCACCACAGGCAGGTTCCCTCAGTATCAAGTGCTCGTCTCCACTTGGCAGATGAGAGCAAGGCGGACCACGGGTGTCCATCACGAGGATGGATGTGATCTTCCAGGGGGGACAGCAGGACCTGGGACAAGGCTGGGCCTCCCAACACCGGTGTCCAGCTGGGACCACCACGCCAGCAGGCTGGTGTCCCTCTGCCAAGTCTACTTCAACAGCAGGGTCCTGGCAGCAAGAAACAACCCTGTTCTCTGTATTAACCCTACCCAGTCTGCACCCTGGCCAGGCCTGTCGGTCCTACCAAAACTGGGTAGGTCCTACCAAGGCTGGGTGCGGTGCATGGATCTTGCTTTTCAGGGATGTGAAATGCTGGAGACCCCGCGCTGCCCTCGGAGTGACCGCGCAGGTGGCGCTGCCAGCCCTGCCCTGTGCCGGCCGTCCCATGAATGGACACGGCTCGGAGGGAGCGTCCCAGCGGGGCAGATGCTCTCCTGGAGCCACCCCCGGCCAACAAAGCACACAGATAGAAAGCTTGAAAACTCACGAAATAGAACAATAACAAAGAAAACTAGAGGGGGTGGCTCACACCCAGCAGCTGATTCACCAGCGCTGCTCTGCTTTACCCCAAGACACACCGGCAGGACAAGCTACGGGCGTGTTTTTCAGCCGAATTACTTTTAATTGAGTACATAGGAGCTTAGAAACACATGATGCTGTCGGAGATAAATATAGCCACGGCTACGAGGATAGAGGGGGCAGGGAGCAATCGAGGTTCCACACAGCCGACAAGGAGCTTCCAGCTCCGGGAGGCAGCGCCGGCCGCCGCCGCACCTTTCCCCGCTCCGCTCGGGCACCCCCCGCCCGCAGTGCCCGGCCGCGGAAGGGGCCGCGGAACCCATACCTGTTTTAAACTCTAGCGCCGGATCCTTCTCCTCCTCGCCCAGGTCGCTCTGCAGCATCATATAGAGGATCCCGAAGGAGTTGTGGATGCCGAAGATGGAGCCGTTGCACCAGGCGGCGGCGAAGACCACCACCCAGCCGAAGCCGCCCTCGGGGGGCTGAAAGGGCGCGGCGACCCCGCTCTGTCCCTGCTCAGCCGCGGCCCCGGCCCCGGCCCCGGCCCCGGCCCCGGCCCCGGCCCCGGGCTCGCTCTCGCCCGCCGCCGCCGCCGGCACCTTCTCGTCGCGTTGCGCCATCGCGGCCGCGCTCCGGCCGCCGCCCGCCGCCCGACTGCCCCGCAGCCGGTCCCACATGCCCGCCGCCCCCCCCGGCCGGCCCCCCCGCCCGCCCCCTCCTGCCGCAGCCTCACTCCCCGCCTCCCCTCCGCCGCCTCCATCCTCCTCCTCCTCCTCCATCGCGCCGCTCGGCCCCCGCGTCCCTACCTGCGGCGGGGGCCGCCCGTCCCCCCGCGCCCCCCTCCCGTCCCCCCGCGGCGCTCAGAGGCGGCCCCGGGCCCGGCCGCGGCCCCGCATCGCCCGCCGAGCCGCCGCGCCGCCCCCGCCGCCGCATCCTGCGGCGGGCCCGGCCCGGGGCGGGTCCCCGCCAGCGCCGCCCCCGCGGGGCCCGGCGGGGCCGGGGGGCGGCAGCGAGCGCTGGGGGAGCCAACGCCGCCCCCCGGCCCCGCACGGCGCCCCGGCCGCGGGGCATCCCGCGGGGCATCCCGCGGGGCTCTCGGTGCCCCGCTGGGGATGCTGCCGCTCCCTCCGCCCCGCGGCGAAGCCCCCGGAGCCGCCCGAGCAGGTGGCGAACAGCCGGACAGGGGATGCGTTTCCTCCCACGCCGGGCAGCCCGGTGGGATTTTTGGCGTGCTCTACCCCGAAGAGTTCGGAGAGCGTCTGTGTGACACCAACCCGGCTTCTCGCCGGGGGAAGCCGCCGGCATCACCCCGGCAGCGGGGCTGTCCCCAGGGCCGCGGGTCACCCCACGCTGCCTTCTCCTGGCGGGATAGCAGCGGCCACCCAAACCCAATGATTCTGGGAGCTGTTCCCTCGCCTCTGACTTGTTTTGCAGCAAGCTCTGCTTTTCCCCTTCTTTCAATAAATAATTACGAATCCACCAATATATTAAAGCCTGTCTTTTCACACGCTGAAGGTATTTATGCTTTCATATACGCCAAGTCTGAGTTATTATTCTTTCTTTCCCCTAATGGCTGTGTCAGTGTCAGATTCCTATCAGAGTAAAATAATACATCCCAACCTCCCGCTGCTCTTTCTTTACCTCCAGGGATATTAATTACAGGGCAGGGTGCGGAGCGGCGGGGAGGCGGCGGCAGGGCCACACCACCTCCCTGCCTCTCCCGAAGCCGGAGAGCAGCGCTCGGCCACGGGCTGCGGCTTGCGAACACTTTTGTCTACGTGCTGCGGCTCGCCGGGCTTGGAGAACCCCTCTGGGACACGGCTGCAGCCAGAAAAAACCTCTCCTCGGCCTTCCCGCCGGCAAATCACTGCCAGCCCCATCGCCATCCGCTTCCTCCCGGGCAGAGGATGAGGAGCAGCGGCTCTGCCCGGCTCTGAGCAGCCGCCGTGAGCGACGGCGAGAGCCGAGCCGGAGGGATGCGCCCATGGGGAGCGCGGTCTCCTCGCCTCGCCTTCCCTCCTGGGCACGGTGCCGCTGGAGGAGCCCAAATCCCCCCAGCCCGGTGGGCTGCCCGCTGGGAACGCCGCGCTCAGGTCAGCCTCGCTGCTGGAGGAACTGCATTTTTATTTCCCTTCCTCCCTGGTGGAGTCTCCTCCCCGGATCCCCATCTCCACAGCGCGGCCGGGGGAGGCTTGGGAGGTTTGGAAGCATCTTCCACTGCCCTCTGCCGACACAACGAGCAGCTAAATTTTAATTTCCGCATCATCAGAAAGCCTGCTCAGGTTCCTGGCCTGATGGGTTTATTTTGTTAAGCTAAGCCCCTGCAAGCTGACAGAGAAGGCGTGGGGTACGCCGGGTGGTTCACAAGGAAGCTGCCCCCCAAAATGTTAATTTTCCACAGCAGCAAAGCAAGGCTGGATTTAAAACAGCAATGAGAGAGGTGGGAGACTTCTTTGCCATAGAAAGCACCGTGTTATGGAGACTTCTTCCCTCTGGAGCTGCAGAAGGCTCTCACAGAGTGGGAAACAGGAGGTTAATGCTCCTTGGACCTTGAGCCAGGCACAAAACCCAGGGAGCAGCACCTCTTCTGAATGTTGGCTGCATGGTGCCTGGACAGAGCATTTTTTATCCCAGGCATCACTGGGCTGGACTGGACCGGTGAGACTGAGGAGTAAAATCACAGAAGGGGCTGAAAAAGTGGGGGTTAAAATTCTGGGCTGGGTGAGATGATGGAGGGGAGGTTTCATCAGGGAGGGAGATGCATCCTGGGAAGCTTTGGGAAATCCAGGCAGGAACAGCTCTGCCTGCTGTAAGAACACAGAACATCCCACCCAGAGGCTCTGCGGCTTCACAACCACAAGATGAAAGAAAGACTGAGGAAAACCCTGCTCTTCCCTGGTTGAACTCAATGCTAAAACCCCCTTCTGTGTCTGCCACATGGTTTCCCTCAAAGCCCTGAGCCTGCCAGCTTGGTGAGGGATGCAGTGGATGGCAGCAGCACCTCCAGGCTCTCTAGATCTGCATCTGGCATCCCTGAGAGCTGGCAGGGAGCACCTCATGTCACAGCTGAGAGCCCCCGGCCACCCGGGCGAGGCGTGGCTGCCAGCAGCGTGTGCTCAGCTCCAAACCGTGGTGCCAGGGCCTCTGCCAGAGGGATTGGTTCCTGCCCAGTGTGGGTGCCTGGGTGTGCAGAAGGGGAGGAGGAATGGAAATACCTGTGCAAGCAGCTTGGGAAGTGTTGAGGGAGGACATAGCTTTGGAGAATACAAATCCCCAGTGGCTTTGCAACCTGGCTTGGTTTTAGTGACATGGGGATGATGCCTTAAGTTTTAGCTTTCCTATTTTCCAGATTCTGTATACTGCATTTGTATTTAACTCTGAATTTCATATAAAGTGTTAGCACGTTCTCCTCACAGTTCAGTCCCTTTCCAGCCCCACAACCAAGGACACCGCTGCAGCTTCAGGCCCAAAAAGTGCAAACAACAGGGAATGGAGGAGAGCAATCTGGGAGGATGGGACTGCATCACCTGGAGCTGTAACTGGACAATTAACCCCAAAATGGAAATGGACCAAAACTTAGAAAAGTGTGAAAACTCCTGACTTGGGTCCATCTTGGTTGTAGCCTCAGCCAGGCTCTTGCACTGCCCAAGGTGAATCCTGTGAAGACCTTTTAATAAATCCCTGCTTTATTCCTTTAACCTTGTCCAGCCTCTGTTCCAGGAGCCTCTCAAGGCATCAGGGACATGTAGAGTTGTTCTGAGGACAAAACCTCATTGACAGCATCTGCTGCAGGGTCAAAAGCTCCAGGAAATCATCTCTGGTGGCGAGCAGCTCTCAGCAGAGACATTCACATGCTTGGCACAGCCCCTCCCTGTCACTAGCAATGCTCCTTTCTTTAGATTGGAGCTGTAGTTAAGACAGCTGCTGCATCTGGCCTGGCAGGCACTGTCCCAGAGGAAAAAGTATCTCGGGGACAGCCTTAGGGACATGGCAGAACTCTCTCCCTGGCAGGGATACTGGAATGCAGAGTCTGGAGCCCAAGGCTTGTCCCAGGGAGAAGGCAGAGAGGGGACCAGCACACAGCAATGTCCTTCCTCTGCCTGACCTTCCCAGCGTTGGGAATCAAAAATATCACAGGTGGCATTTTCCACCTTTTTGGCAAGATTGAAGTCGATTCTACTTAGCTTGGCTGAAAAATGAGACAATTTAAAAGTGCTGGTGTGAGCAGTGGGTTTTCAGGGAACCATGTGCCACCAAACCCCACACTTGGCTCCATTTTGGCAGTGGAAATCACAGCACCGTGTCCAGTGCAGTGGCTCCAGGCTGGGTGGGGAACGTGGTGCTGCTCAGACACTGCTGCCCTACCTGATTTTTCATACAGCTGAGCAAAACCACTGTTTCTGGCCCAAACAGAGGAACAGGGTGGATCTGTGCTGTATTAAAGGGCTTCTGGAGCCACACAGCTGCCTGCTCACCTTCAACCATCCAGCTGCAGAGGTGTGGAGGGCATCTTCTGAGCGTGCCTCACCGCTTTCCCACATTTCCTTTGAAATAGGAGCTACAAGGGCACGTTCCTGTGGGGAAGTGGAAGTTCCTGCCCAGCCCCACCAACCCCAACCACGCCGCAGCCGCCCCAGCTCTGCCACGTAACCCCACAGGACCTTGGTGCGAGGTGCCAGAGATGCTCTGCTGATGGGAAGAGCTCGAGCCGGCACACAAAGGAGGCAAGGATCCAGCTGTAAATTAATATTTTATAGAACACCAAGAAAAATCAGAGAGGCTAATTACAGCGATAATCATCGCGGCCCGGAGGCATTTCCATGGAAGTCAGGAATTACCCAGGATTACCTCAGCCCTCGCAGCAGCCCGCGCGGGAGGCGAGCGCGTGCGGCCGTGCCACAGCACCCAGCACCTCCTCCTGGGCCAGCTGGGGGTCCACAACCCAAAATGAAGAGCTTTGGCAGCCTCCTGGCATCCCACTGCAGCTGCACAGCCTTTGGCTTCTGAGCTGGCTGGCGTGGATGGAGGGGTGGTGGGGTTTGGGGCTGGGTGCTCCCCTGGGCCCCACTGTGCCTGTTTGTCCCCAGTGTCGCTGATGTGGGACCCACCGCTGACCCCAAGCTGCCCAAAACCCTGAGGGGTTCAGGGAACCACTGGCAAAAACTTTGTGGATGTGCCCCCAGGGAATGTCTTTCCTATGGTTCATTAATTTACTGTTATTAACTGATATTTGCATAGTTTATCCAGCGATGGAATGAATTCCCTTGGGAAAGGGTGAATTCCCCATCAGCTCCTCACTTTGGAGGGTGGGGGCACTGCCCAGCTCCAGCATGGCACAAAGGTGGCTCATGGCAAGCCTGGAAGATCCCCGGGAGCTGCATGGCCGGGAGCTCTGTGGGCTCCTGTCCCACAGCCCGGGACAAAGCCAGCCCGGGCACCTCCAGGGGGAGCGGCTCGGGGAGCAGAGAAGCCTCAGTGCAGCTGGTCTGTGCCCCTGAGCTGGAACAAAGGACACTGCTGGTCTGTCACACAGAAAAACTCGGGTGGAACCCCACGTGTGCTGTGACAGAGCGGGGAAGAGCCCGGGCTGAGGCTGGCCCCGGGCTGAGGGTGCTGAAGGTGCACAGATCTGTGGGTGCTGCTGTCTGCACCTTCCCCTCCCCTGCCCTCACCCTCCCAAACTGCCTGTGCCCCCCAAGCTCGGGGGTGGGAGAGCACCCAGGGTTACAGGAGATGGTCTGGGGGCTCCAGGGGCTCCTGGGCACTTGTGCCACCCCTTGGGTTTGCTCCTGGCGCTCCGAGGGTGTGTGATGTGCTGAGCTGCTCCTGGCAGGGCTGAGAGCTCCGGGGCTGCTCCGAGCGGGCTGCGGGCACCGAGGGCTGCGGGCAGGAGGGGGCAGCTCTGTCCTGGGGCACAGCAGAGGGGCTGCTCACCCCTCCCGGCCAAACGTGGGTCCCCAAATCCCTGCCTGCTGCTGCCGCAGGATGTGCTGTCCTGGGAGCAGCATCAGCCTCCTCTCCCAGACCGGCTGCACTTCTGGCTCTGTTTGGCTTATGGAAAACTTCTACTTCATTTCATGAGATGAGAACACCTCTGATAGCACCAGCACAGGGACAGACAGCTTGGCCAAGGCAGTCCAGGATGAATCTAAAATCTCCAGCCGAGTGTCCGCTGCTCGGGGGAGGTCCCTGGGGACACAGGCAGGAGGGACAGGAGTGAGGCGGGCGTGGGCTGCAGAGCTGCCCGGGATCCCCGGGCACGGCAGAGCTGTCCGGGGCACGGCAGAGCTGTCCGGGCTCCTCCGGGCACGACAGAGCTGCCCTTACACCGCTGCCTGCAGAAGAGCCGGGCTTTGGGCTGGGACACAGCCTTGTGCCAGACCCCTTGGTCCAGCCGTGCTCAGGAGGTGGCAGCTGTCCCCTTTGGGGTGCCCTCGCCCTTCATCCATGCCGCTTTTCTCTTCCTGAGGAGCACCGGGAGCCTGATGCGCTGGGGATGAGGAGCTCTCCCCGCTGCCTCCACGCTGCTGGATGCGGCTCCTTCCTGACAAGCAGCGCTTAATCCCGCCCTGGAGCGCTCCGGGAAGAAATCAAAGCGTGAGTCATCTCCCTCCAAACCTCAAACCGTGTCACAGATTATCCCTCGTGCTGCTGAAGTTCTTTCTTCCCCCACACGCCTCAGTGCAAGGGAAGCAAACGCGTTTCGCGCATCGCAGCTCCCGCACGGCTCGAACCACCCGTGTCTCTCCCGGCTCGCTCTGCCCTCTAGTAGCGGCTGCACTTACAGCAGTCGTAGAATCACGGCATCGGGGAATTGTTTAGGGTGGAAAAGCCTTCATCCATTCCCACAGTGTCGGAATCTGTGGTATTGATGATCCCGAGATTGTAGAAAGTCTCTGTCTTTCTGCCCCGCTGCCAAAGCAGAAGCCATAATTCGTCTGTGCTGGTTTCAAGGTTGTTTATTCTGTTTATCTCTAACATGTTCTGCTGCCCTGCCGCAGCTCTGTCCTGCAGGGCAGCGTGTGGGGCTCTGCCTTCAGTGGGATGTTACAAACATTAAATACCACAAACTACCTGTGCTGGATTTACAATAACGTGCCAATATCTGTCACCTACGTTGGACAGTGTGTCCCCAGCCTGAACCAACAGAAAAATGCCAACACCACAGTGAAACATGGAGGGTATGAAGAAGGAGAAAAAGGACAAGGCACACCCAATTTCCTCCGTCCTGTCCCCTTTGGACCCCTTATCTAGAATCCTAAAATTTTACTTTTGCACCCGTGCCACACTTAATTATTACTGATATCAAACACTCAGAGCTTGTAATTGATCCTGTAAGATTGAAAACTCCTCTCCATGGACAGAGTTCACAGACAGTGTCTCTGGGGGCTCTGTCCAGGGGGGTTCCTGACCCCTGCCAGGGTCCCAGCCCTGCCAGGGCAGCCAGAGGGAAGCCCTGGATTCCCACACCACAGCACCGCCAAACCCAACATTAACCCGTGTTCCCAAATGCCACAGCTTTACATCCTTTACATTCCCCCAGGGACGGTGACTCTGTCGCTGCTCTGGGCAGCTGTGCCAGGATACAGCCCCTGCAGTGAAGAAATTTTCCTTAACGTCCAATCTAAACCTCCCCTGGCCCAGCCTGGGCCATTCCCTCTCCTCCTGTCCCTGTTCCCTGGAGCAGAGCCCGACCCCCCGGCTGTCCCCTCCTGTCAGGAGCTGTGCAGAGCCACAAGGTCCCCCCTGATCTCCCTTTTCTCCAGGCTGAGCCCCTTGCCAGCTCCCTCAGCCTCTCCTGGTGCTCCAGCCCCTTCCCAGCTCCGTTCCCTTCCCTGGACATGCTCCCGACTCTCAATGGCTCTCTTGAGGGGCCCAGAACTGCCCCCAGGATCTGAGGTTTGATTTGTGGGTGCCCTGCTCTGCTGCACCCCCAGCCTCCAGCCCAGAGTTCCCCTTGGCTGCCCTGGCTGGGCAGGGGCATGGCCAGGGATTTGAGGAAGGGCTGTGGGGTCACTGGAGCCTGCCCTGGCTCTGCTGGCATCCTTGGCATGGACATGCAGCTGCTGGTCACTGGGGCTGGAGTGTGGATGTAGCCTGGAATGGGTTTGGTGTGGCTGGAGTGGGCTGGGAAGTGCAGAGCTCTGAGGTGGGGTCAGTGGAAGTTGTCCCTGCCATGGCAGGGGTGTTGGGATTGGATGGTCTTTAAGGTTACTTCCAACCCAAACCATTCTGGGATTCTAGGACTCCCAGGATTGGATTTTGTTAGACCCCCAGGCAGGTGAGGCTCCTGCAAATGTTTGCACTCAATATGGTCCAGTGCAGGCACTGGGGCACAAAGTTATGACATGGTTTAGGCTGGAGGGCATCTCTAAAGGTCTTCTGTCCAACCCCCTGCCATGGGCAGGGACACCTCCCACTATCCCAGGCTGCTCCAAGCCCCATCCATCCTGACCTTGAACACTTCCAGGGATCCACTTCTCTGGGCACCCTGTGCCAGGTATCCCCACCCTCGTTGTAAAAAACTGCTTCATATCTGGTTTAAATCTACCCTCTTTTATTTTAAAACCATCACTTACTGTCCTATAACAACAGGTCCTGCTTAAAACTTAGTCACCATCTTGGGAAGAAAGGCCCTGGAAGGGGCTCTGAGGTCTCCCTGGATCCTTCCCTTCTCCAGGTGAACACCCCCAGCTCTCCCAGCCTGCCCCCAGAGCAGAGAGGCTCCAGCCCTCGGGGTATCTCTGTGACATGACCAAGGACAGGACCCCAAATCTCGGCCACCAGCAGCTGGTGACAGTGACAATCTGGGGAGGACGCCGCTTTTCCTGGAGCTTCATCAATACCCCGGAACAACCACTCGGCCTGGATCTGATCCTCGGGGAGACACCCAGGGACCCCAGAGGGCACAGGAGAAGATGGTGGCAATGCCACACCTGGAAAAGACGATGCCCAAACCTCTCCCTCTCAGCGGAGCCGTGCCAGCGGGAGGATTTCCAGCGGGGGGAAAGCGGCGGGGAGGCCGGGCGGTGTGCCGGTGTGCGGGCCCCGAGGCGGAGCTGCGCGGGCAGCACCCCGGGGTGCCGGGGCCGCTCGGGGGGGCCGGGCGGTGTGCGAGCCCCGAGGCGGAGCTGCACGGGCAGCACCCCGGGGTGCCGGGGCCGCTCGGGGGGGCCGGGCGGTGTGCGAGCCCCGAGGCGGAGCTGCACGGGCAGCACCCAGGGGTGCCGGGGCCGATCGGGGAGGCCGGGCGGTGTGCCGGTGTGCGAGCCCCGAGGCGGAGCTGCACGGGCAGCACCCCGGGGTGCCGGGGCCGCTCGGGGGGGCCGGGCGGTGTGCCGGTGTGCGAGCCCCGAGGCGGAGCTGCCCGGGCAGCACCCCGGGGTGCCGGGGCCGCCCGGGGGGCGCGGGGCGGAGCGGGGCGGGGGCGGTGCGGGGCACATGCGCCGTGCGCGCACTGCGGAGCGGCGCGGGCAGTGCCGGCGGAGCGGGCGCGGGGCGCGGGCAGCGCCGGCGGCGGCCGCAGCCCCGCACGGCCCCGCACGGCCCCGCACGGCCCCGCACGGCCCCGCACGGCCCCACCGAGACGCGGCCCGGCCCCGCCGGCCCGGCGGAGGTGAGCGCAGGGGATGCGGGGGGTCTCTGTGCCCCCAGGTGTGAGCGCGCATATGGGGGGACGTCCCTTCGCGGGGCATTGGGGGCGTCGCGGCATTTTTGTGGGGTTCTCCTCTATCTTTTCATCCTTTTGGGTGGGCATCGGTGTGTGGAGGGGGTCTCCCACCGCTCTGCATCCTGGCATGGGGGGTGGGTGATCCTCTGCTGCTTTACATCTTTCCGGTGGTGGGGGGAGTCCTTGCGGGGGAGGGGGTTCTCCATCCCTTTACATCCTTTCGGGGGGATCCTCCATCCCTTCGCATCCTTTATGGGGGGTTCTTCCGTCCCTTCGCATCCTTGCTGGGGGGGTGGGGGGAGGGCCGCTCTGCATCCCCGTTTTGCTGCATCCCCCCCAGCTTTGCAGCCGTGCCCGGGGGCGGGGGGCTGTCCTCCATCCCTTCGCATCCTTGCTTTGGGAAGGGGCTGTCCAAGCTGCTCCGCATCTTTGCGTGGGGGGTCCCCCCACTTTGCAGCTATTCATGGACGGGGGTCGGGGGATCCTCCACGTTTTGCACCTTTGCCTGGAGGGGGTCAGGCTGCTCCGCACGTTTTCATGGCGGGGGGAGGGATCCCGGCAGCGCTTGGCACATTTGCACCGCGATGCTCCGGGCCTCTCTGCACCCTTGCGCTGGGAGGGGAGGGGGTGTGTGCGCTGTCACTTCGCATTCCTACATGGAGAGGGAGGAGGACCTGGCTGCTCTGCACCCTTGCATGGGGGCGGGGTGGGGGCGGGGGGGCTTCACCTGACATCCTTGCCATGCTGGGGAGGGAGGATCCTTCACCTTTACATCACTGTGCGGGAGAAACTGGGCCCACGCTTGTCTGTGCTCCCACAACCAGCACAGGGCAGGGCTCCTCACCCCCTGGCTGGGGAATTGGGGGGGGGGGGGTTCCAAATTGGGGGGGGCTCTGCAGGATGATATGAAGCTGGGACACAGAGGGGACAGTGCTGAGCAAGGCACAACCTGCTGTCACCTGTCATGCACGCCCCCCCTCCCCATCCTGGTGCCCTCCCAGGCGTTTGGAGCCCCGCCGGGTTCAGAGCCCCCTTGGTGACCCCCCCAGCCCGGGCACCCCCTGGGCAGAGCTGCAGGTGGGCCCAGAGCCCCTCAAAGCTGCCGAGCCTGGGCCTCCACGCTCAGTGATTCAGCTACTTGCAAGGAGATTTAATTTTCTCGCTTCAAACTGGAGTTCTTGCTGCCTCGTGGCGGTGTGGGCGCGATGGATTACCTGCGGATTGAGATGCTTTCGAAGGGACTTTGTGGCTGCTCTGTGTGTCCGGCACAGCGGAGCCAGCGGCCGGACACGCTGCCGGAGGAGGGGAGGGGAGCGCAGCGCCGGGATGTGCGGGCAGCTCGGGAATGGCAGGATTAATAATTCATCTTCCAAACTTCAGCGTGCCAAGGCACACCCCGCACGCTGCAGCTCGCTGCCTGGGTTTTAATGAGATTGCCGGGGTCATTTTCTTTTTGAAAAATGGCGTTTTGGTGGTATTTGAGTATCTCGGTAGCTCCCAGGGTGACAGGTTGCAGAGCTCGGTGAGGAGGGCAGGGTGGTGGCAGCATCAGTCCGGCAGAGCCTGCTCTGGCAGGCAGAGGGTTAATGTGCACCGGGCTGTGCTGTCGCAAACGCAGAGCAGGAGAAGGGCTCTTACCCAGACCCCAAATGTCCGCTCCTTCTCCCGGGAGCTGATGCCCGCGGAGAAAACTGGAGATGAAGCATATTTTGCTTTGAGCTGTCATCTCCCTTGGCCCAGTTCTGAACCAAAGATGCTCATCCTCCATTTTATGGCGGATGACAAATCAGCCGCCGATGCCAAGATCTTGACAAGTTACGAACAACAGCCCTCGAGCCAGAAGTGTTAAGAAATAAAAAAAGAAAAGCAAGAACGCTTTTTCTTTTTTTTTTTTTTTCCCTTTTTTTTGCAGAGCTGCTCATCCAAAAAGACACCCTCTGAGCTGCACCCCGCGGGCATTTCGCACATCTCTGAGCAGCGAGGCTGCAGCCAGCTCCAGGCTGGGATGTGCCTCCTCTTCCCCACATGCACCCGGAGTTTTGTGGGGTGCACGCCCGGCTGTGCTGGGAAAACCCAGGGGAAAAGGCTGGGGAGCAGCAGGGAGAGGCCAGCCCGGCAGGGAGCGGGCTGGGAGCGCTCTGCTCCGGGGATGGAGATGCCAGCGCTGCCCGCGGCTGTTCCAAAGGCAGAAATCCCCTCTCTGCTGGCCGAGGGTTTCCCCGGTTTATCAAAGCGCCTTCTATACTGGGGAGAAAAAGGCTGGTTTGTTCAGCAGCGTCCTGCCCGCACAGCCCGGCAGCGAGCGGGGGAGATCCTTCTGGTAATGAGCTGGGCACAAAAGGGGAAAAAAGCTGTCATTGAAGATTTTCCTTTGGTGATAGAATCATTAAAAACAACACATGATTCCTGGGCCAGCAGGGATCTTTTGCAGCCAAAGCAGAGCTGAGATCTGTGCCGTGTTCCCACAGCCCCAGCCCCTGGCTCCTCCTCTGAAGATGAAGGCAGCGCCGCTGCTCCCGGGCATTCCTGGCGCAGGAAGCAGGCGTGGAGCAGCCAAGGGATGATGGAGGAGGGTCGTGCATAGTTTCATCCATAATTTTCCCCCTCCTTTTTCCCTTCAGCATTAGGGTATCGGGATGGACGTCCTTTTTTTTGGATGGATTTTGCCTGGATAGGGATACTCTGATCTGTATCCACAGCAGAGATAGAGGCAAAGGGTGAATGGGAAGGACCTGGAGAAGTGGCCCTCAGCTCCGTGACCACTGCCAGGGCTCCCCATTTCTGAGAAATCAAACAACAGAACCCAAACTCTATGTTAACTGGACCCCAAGGAAAGTTCTGCCTGAAAATCCACGTGCCAGAGATGGGGTTGTTCAGCCTGGAGAAGAGAAGGCTCTGGAGAGCCCTCAGAGCCCCTTCTGGTACCTAAAGGGGGCTTATCAAAAGGAGGGAGAGACTTTTTACAGGGGGAAATAGTGACAGGCCAATGTGGAATGGCTTTGAACCAAAAGAGGAAATATTTAGATTAAAATTTAGGAAGAAATTATTGGTTGTAAGGGTGCTGAGGCCCTGGCACAGGGTACCCAGAGAAGCTGTGGCTGCCCCTGGATCCCTGGAAGTGTCCAAAGCCAGGATGGACACTGGGAATTGGAGCAGCCTGGGACAGTGGGAGGTGTCCCTGCCATGGCAGGGGGTTGAATGAGATCATCTTAAAGGTCCCTTCCAACCCAAACCTTCCTGTGATTCTGTGATTTAAAACATTTGCTCTCACCTACCCTAAAAGAAACATCATTTAGGTAAAACCCCTGCAGCAGCCTGTTTGTTTTAAACCAGACTCACAGCAGGACGAGGTTTCTGTACTGACCCCAGGGTGGCGAGGCAGTTGCTTTTATGGCATCCTCCTAAGCAGGGCTGGTGCTGCAGAGCCCATCCCTCGGGAGCGGTGGGGGTTTAGAGACTGTTCAGCCAAGCGCTGTTCCTAGAGCTGAAACATTTTACAGTAGAAGGAGGGGAGGAAATATCCCCCAAACCAAACCACCAACGGTGGCATTTACTAACAAAGCTCCCGAGGAATATTTTTAGCTATGATTTAACGTTGTGCTGCACTTTGCTGTGCAGTGTTCTCTGGTGGAGTTGGCCCAGGAGGGGCCGGGGAGAGGTGGCAGCGCTGCCCGGTGGGACACGGGTCAGGGCTCCAGCCCGGCCAGGGAGCCCTGGAGCTGTGCCCCCCGGCCAGCCCGACACAGCCCTCTGCCCCCTTTGGCAGCAGGGCCTGGCCCTTCCCCAGCTCCTCCCAAATCTGCTCCTGGCCAGCAGGAAAATCCCTCTGTGCCACCCGGGCCTGAGACCTCTCCTCTGGTTTCACAGCAAGCTCAGCCCTGCCTTCCAGCCTCTCTGATATCCTGAGGATGGGGGACAAAACCACCACCCCACACCCCGGGGTTTTCAGCCTCTGAGGCATTTTTCCACCTGATGCTTTGCTGGGATATTTCTGTGGCCCCAGACCATTTGTAAGGCCAGGCTCCTTTGGGATGCAGAGGTCTCAGGGAAGGGGCAGGCAGTGGCATCGTTCCTCCCATGCCCACCAGCCCCCAGTGCCACCCTGAGAAATCACTCTTGCTGAAGCCCTGCCCTCTGCTTTATTTGGGATCCAGCTGCTTTTAATCTATTTAATGAACCTTTGGACAGCAGCTCTGGAGCACCAGTCACCTTCCCAGGGAGCAGTGACATTTGTCATGCTGCTGGTGTTCTCAGGCACTGGGGCTGGCAGCAAATGAAGAAGTGGTGGCAGATGCATTTTGTAAATTGGAGCAGCGAGTCCTTGCGGTGCAGCTCCTGCTCCATTTTGTGGGAGGTAAATCAGCAGATCTGGCCCAGCTCTCCCAGGCAGGTTTTCCCCTGCACCACAAAGAGCCACTGCACAGCTTTTCCTGGCTGAACTTCTCCTGAGACAACAAAACTCCAGCCCTTGTAGGCTCTGCTCTCCCCATGACTGGTAGGAAAGAAGGAGTTTGGGGCCACCTGAACCAGAGGTTGCCCCTCAACCATGAGGTGGCTGCTGGTGGCCTCTCTGCCCTCTGCAGGTTTGTCTTCTTGCTCTTTGAACCATCCCACGCTGGTTTCCACCACGCTGTGGCAGAGCTCCACAAATCGACACCTCGAGAAGCTGCTGCTTCACACCTACACCTATTTCTGTCTGCTCAGAAGCATCACACACCCCCAGATCCTTCCCAGCCCTCTTCTCTGCCAGATCCATCCTGCCAAACTCCACAGGATGAGCTCCTTCAGGCACCAACAACCCCACTGAGTGTCAGCTCTGCCTCTTGTCCTTTCCCTGACTTCAGATTCAGGGGTTTTGTTGCTCCTTTCACTATTTCAGGACTGCTTTGTGCCTCCCTTCTGCCCCCAGCCCTTCTTCACCTCTCCATTCCAAGGGTTCTGCACCA